GTTGGAGAAAGGTGTTGCTGCAATGAACAAAAATATTAAATGTTAAGTGTTGGAAATTTGGAGAAAAAGAAGAATGAAAAAGAAAAAAAGAAGTAAAGGCACAAAGTGCTTGGTTTGGAAAAGGAAAAGAAAAAGGAAATGAGGAAAAAGGGAAATCAAAACAACACAAAGTGTTGAAAGTTGGAAGAAAAGGAGGAAGGAAGTTCAAGAAAAAGAAAAGTTGTAGAAAAGGTGGTGAAAAGAGTAAATGAAAAGGAAGAAGAGAATGAGAAGGATTAAGGAGTACATAGATAAATTCAATAGTGATCTTCCTCTTATCTGAATCTGATTCATCTATCTAACCTTCTGCAACATCAAATCCTACCTTTAGCCAACTACGTGCCAAGCCATTTTTCCTTCTTCTATACAGAATCCTATTCCTAGTCAAGTCATACCACCAAAGCCTCTTTTGTTCTGCTTATGAATCACTGTCACTATGGAAAGTGAGAAGATGGGCAAGCTTATAGTAGTTTGAGTGCAGTGGAGATTGAGTGATGAGTACACCCTTAGACACTAGAGTGCAAGAGAGTTTATTCTCACAATTTTTGAGAAGTTCCAAGTGCCGGTGTTTTGTGTTGAAGGTCTCTGCATTTCATCTTACTGATCTGTTGAAAGTCATTGTGATGAGGTTAAGCAAGTCATAGTAAAAGATAGATTGCTGGGTTGTTAGATTGTATCTTGGAAAGTTGATCTGTCATATTTCAATCCAACCTCATAAATTTCATGTGTAAAGAATCTCAAGTCTTTCTCTGTCTTTAAAGTTATTGCTGAGGACAGCAATATTCAAATCTGGGAATTGTGATGAACCCTTAGTTCATCATGATATTTAGCAGGAATTAGGATCAAATTGTGTGATTAAATGATGAAAAACAAGGTTAATGTCCTAAGATGTCCTCAATTACAAGTTCAAGAGCTTTATTGGAAATTTGTATGATTCTTGTAGGAAAAGCAAACTTGAAAGACAACTGGAGAAGAAAGAAGATTCTGGAGCTCAAGAGGAGAAAAATTGCCTAAGTGTTGAGCGCTAAAACGTCCACACTGAGCGTTTTAGCGCCCTGCTACAGGAAGAGGCCAAAACTTGCTGGTGATGAGCGCTAAAACGCCCACACAGAGCGTTTTAGCGCGCTGCTGCACTTAGAAGATGGAAAATTGCTGGTCTTGGGCGCTAAAACGGTCTGCAATAAGCGTTTTAGCGCCCTAAAGTGGAAAAAGGATTCTGGTCTTCACCGCTAAAACGTCCAAATCAAGAGTTTTAACGTTGGAATCAGTTAAAAGCAGTTGAACATACGTAAAGCATGGACGCTAAAACGGTCACTTATGGACGTTTTAGCGCCCACATTAGTTTTTTGTTTTTAATTGTAACACTATATAAGGCAAAGCCTTGACACTTAGAAAAAGCTCTGGATCTGAGGGATCTGAACTTTCTCTCTCTCTTAAACTTTAGTCTGACTTCTCTCTAAATTCTTTTAGTTTTAGTTTTTGTATTAGGATTTCTTTGTAATAGTTTGGAGATTGAAGACTTTCAACATGGAAATGAAGTTTGCTTCTTCTTCTCTTATCTATTCTTTAGTCATGTCTGAGTAGAGTCTTTGTAGTCTAAATGCAATGGAACTCCATGATAATATTATGTTGATTTGATTAATATGATGAAGTATTTTTCATGTGTTGATTTGAGATTTTCTGAGTTAATTATTTCTATCAAGGAAATAGTATAGAACAGGGATGTTTATATGACTTCTGTATTTGATAATCTCAACATCAGAATTCTAGTACTCAAGGGATTGATGCTAGAATTCTGATGTAATCTTAAAACTTTAGTATTTCATGCATGTATTAAGAAAGAGATCACCAAGGGATTGGGGTTTCTGATTAATGTATCTATCAGGGTAGTAAGGGATTACATCTTGATGATAAGTAAAAGGTTGATTAACATCACATGGAAAGGAATTCATCATATGATCAATTTTTACATGGGTTATTATGGAGGAAAGTTGTTTTCTGACTACTTGTTGTTTTATTAATTCCTAATCCATATTTACTTTGTGTCAAATTACTTACAATCAATTTTCTGGTGACAAATTATTCATGATTTTTACGAACTCTTATTTGATTCAAATTAGTTTTCTATGGTATATTGGTGTTTGAACATAATTCCTCGTGGGAACGATCTTTACTCATCATTTTATTACTTGTACGACTAGTGCACTTGCTAAATGTCCAACAGTTATGAACTCTGAAACACCTTCTTTTACTCAAATGGTTAAAGTTTCACTTATTAACCGATTAAACAAGCTTAAAACTTCAAAAAGACAAAGAAGTGATCATGGCTCACCTCAAGAGCTCTAAACTCCGAAAATGAAACAGAAAGGAAGCCTTCAACATAACACCAAGGTTCTGACTTCACAAGGCCACAAATTTAAACCAAAAGCTTGGACCTTTCACCATCCAAATGGCACCATGAAGCTCAAAATGCCAAGAAGATGACCTCTCACACCAAAACTCAAAAAATAGCCCTTAAACCCCACCAACCAGTGACCAAAAACTCAGAGTAAGTTTATCTACTCACCCTCAAAGCCAACTACTCAGTGTTTACAAGGTTCAAGGTGTATTAGCTCTCATAAAAATGGTGTCTTGAAGGATTTTTTGAAGAAAACTCAATGAAACAGTGAAAAGGGAAGGAGACAACAGCTACACACACACAACCCACGCATAGAATGGCTGAGTATCAGCCTAGGGTTGCGTGCAAGTGACTATATATAGTTCACTTAACATTAACCACACAATATTAGCATTAATAGCTACGCTTAGCATTTTAATCCCAAACTTAGGATTCTGAACCTACTCAATTTTACAAGATTTATCATATTTTTATATTAATTTTCGCAGAACCTTTCTGGTACGCGCTTTTCCATAGCCAGTATCAGTTCTGGCACCAGTTCTCATTATTTTAACTTAAAACTTGAAATCACAGTCCTACGTATTATTCTAGGAATATTCATGCACTTATTACAATTTTCCGGGATACTTCATCGGTACGCATTTATACCGAGTAGCAGAACCGGTATCTGCACTTTTCGTCAGAAAATCGACTTTCAACATTATTACTCACATTCTATAATTATACAAGCTTTATCATAATTATTAGGGTTAATTATGGAATTATCTCATTAATCTCATAATTATCTAATTAATTACCTTAATTAGCGGTGCGGGTTCTTACAATATACGTGTTGGTTACTTCATTTTAAATATTACATGTCAAGACTCAAGCTTTAACTCATTAAAACTCATGATCAAGTTAGGGAACATACCCAAGGCTTCAAAACAGAGGAAGAAGTGCTCTTGGAGCTCACCAAACAGCTCCTCAAGCTTCTGATTTTACAGAGTACGAATTTGGCCACCAATGCTTGGCTCTTTCACACTAAAGATGGCTTCTTGAAGCTCAAAATGCCACCACAAAGGCTCCCATAACTCCCACCATGAAGTCAGCCCCAAGACTCTAGAAAAACAGAACTCTCAACTCAGAAACAAAGCCTTCCACTCACTCCCAATGATCCCTCTCACTCATACAAGGGATTTTGGTAAAGAGAAAAGGAAGAAAGGTGGTTTCTTTGGAGGAGAAAGCTATGGAGAATGGTTGAGAAGGAGGCTGCACTCTCAGGCTCAGAATTTCCTATGTAGAAGGCACAATATCTGACCTAGAAGTGTGTGTCATGCCCTTATATAACCTCATTAAATTTTAAACACACTGTATTAGCACTAATAGCTACGCTTAGCATTTCAATCCCAAACTTAGGATTCTGAACCTACTCATTTTTCTAAGATTTATCATATTTTTATTTTATTTTCGCAGCACGTTTCCGGTACGCGCTTTACCATAGCCAGTATCCGTTTGGTACCAGTTCTCATTATTTTGACTTGAAACTTGTTTTACAAGTCCTACATATTTTTCTAGTCACATATACACACTTTTCATAATTTTCCGGGATACTTCATCGGTACACATTTATACCAAGTAGCAGAACAGTATCTGCACTTTTCGTCAGAAAAGCGACTTTCAGCATTATTACTCACTTACCATAATTATTTAAGCCTTATCATAATTCTTAGGGTCAATTATGGAATTATTTCCTAACTCTCATATTTATTAATTAATTTCCTTAATTAACGGTGCGGGTTCTTACAACAGCCATCACCGCCGCCTCCACCACAACCAAATTTGCTGCCATGGTTTGTGTTTAAATGTCCTTTTTAGTAATTTTATGGATGAAAATTGCCTTTTAATTTTAACATCCAAATAATATATTTAGTAAAAAGGTTTTTATTTATGTACTACCTCCGAATGCAAAATAACTATACCTTTTGTAAAAAGTATTTTTAAAATTAGTAAGGTATAAAAAGTTCTTTTTTCAAAAGTTCATCCAAACGAACCCTGAGTCTTGCATGTTTTACATTTATTATAAGTCGTTGATCCAATTAACTTGCTAATCAATTATAGCTATTTGATACAAATAGGATCAATGACTAATAATGAGTATAAGACTTATACACGCAATTGATCCTACTTATATATGTATAGTCCTGTCTACGACTGAATTACAATAACCTTTTTATATCCATGTGATGGCTCTTTATCCAATTATAAGTATTTTAGAATATATGAATTTTATGGTAAGTACTCGGCCAATTTGTAAGAGTTGTGTAATTCTACATCAAATGATGAATGCCGTGCCCTTGCCCTGTGACCAGGAAGATATTGCAGTCTGCTACTATCTCCATGATACAATTGCGATAGTTGAAGTGGGGATCAAATATCATCATGATATGCATTCACTGTAGGTCATCAATTCAACCTCATATATAGCTCTCATGTTAAACAAGGCTTTATAGAATGGAAATTCGCAATGGCATGAGGGAAAGCTGGAAGACAAGAAAAATATAAGAGAATTTTATAAGCTAAAGCTATGTAAGAACTCGGTACTAAACTAATAATTAGTCTGAAGTACTAGTTATTACAATACCATTATTGTATGTTAACATAAAAACATATAGGACTTCATGTTTTTTCCTCAGCAATTGGAATATAAATTAAGACTGACACTATGATTAGTTCGCTGGTATAGCCCGTTTAAGAACACAGAAATTGAAAGTGCAATTATATGGATCCCAGTGGAATCCGATCTCATCCCCTTTCTTGAGCTCTCTTCTCCTAACAAAATCTTGGTTCCACTTTCCAATAAGAACATAGCTCTTGGATGAAGACCATCGCTTCAGAACGAGTTGGTGCATGGATTTGGTATCTATGTCCCGAACTCTAACTGGGGTTCCTTCATCAGTTTCCGCGGCTCTTGCATGATCAACTTCCAACATAGGCAAAATCTGTTTCTTTACCAAATCTGCAGCCAACAAGAGTCTGCTCAAGATTCCAAGATCACTATCAGTCAGTGTCTTCTTGATCGTCCACGGGTCGTCGTAAAGCTTCAGTGTGGTGGAGACTCCCTTGTGCTTCTCTTCTTCGTTTTTGTTGCTGCACAATCTTCTCCTTGAAGTCCTCGAGGTAGAGCCTTCACAACTGGTAGATTTTCTCTTCTTCTGACACTGCTCCCTTTCATCTGAAGGGTTACTCATGTTGAAAGTAGAAGGGGAAAGACAATTTGGATGGTATTTGTGACTGTAAACTGGTAAAAAAAGGTTAAAACTTAAAATGGGTTTGATAGCTACTGCAATTTGAAAAGAGTTTTTAAACTACTGCAATTCCTTTTGCATTTAGTATACCAAAGTATTTATGAATGGGAATGAAGGCTCATTTGCTATTTTTTTCTTCATATAAATGGACTTCCTTCGTCTTTGTTATAGCCTGTTCGAAAGGCACATCTTATTTCCTTTTCAATAGTATCAAATGGGATAAGAATATCCAAAGTCATAGAACTTCCCTTTTATGTAGTCTTTTTCTGCGCAAACAAAAAGCTGAAATTCTCTCTTTTTTGTTATTTGCTTCTTTTTCCTTCCTTTTCTATTGGTTAGTTTTGAACTTATATTCCGTTTTATGGGATGAGGATTTTCGGAATAAATAAATTCCACCCCCAATTTTAAAGAAAACATAATGTATTTTTTGTTGCTCATAAGAAGGAAAAAAATCACTTGATAATAAGAACTAACCCATAAAACAATTATTTCTTACCATCAAACACATGGATCAACTGACAGGGGATTGATTGTTTCAGCTTAACCAATAGTTTTGTTAAAACTTGGTAGAGAAGTTTTGCATCTCATATGGTCGGGCTCGAACCAAATTAGTCAAATAACCCGTGTACCTATGGTAATATTAGAAAGAAAGAAAAAAGCAACTATTTCTTAACCATGGTCCCGTGGCTTAATTTTTCAATTGATTTTCCTTTTTGTATTGGTTAGTTTCGAACTTATATTCCGTTTCATGGGAAGGAGATTTTCAGAATAAATTAATTCCACACACAAATTCGATGAAACATGAAACATAATGTAGTACTTGTAGCTCAGAAGAAAAAAAAAGCAATTATTTTTTAACCAAGTTGCCATGCAATTTTTAAATGAGATGAGTGGGTCTTGCTTTTGAGTTTTCTTCTCCTCTTACAAATCAGTCATTCACCCTGGGTCGTTTTTCTTATCTATACAAACGCACTTGATTCTCTTTTGTCTATTTAGGAGCCTTGCTTTCGTGTTCGTTTGATCGAAGTGGATCGTCATTAAAAGTGAATTAGGGAAAATTTTATCATCCTTATAATTCTACCGACTCCGATTTAAATTTGTCAGCGTTCACCAGATACCTTATGATTTATTTTTATTTTTAAAAAAAAATAACGTTTTGGATCTCCAACCGGTTTGGAATTCTTAGCCTGAATGTTCCTCATCGTCTTCCGTGACGAAAAGTTGACATTCATAAAGGACATAGGAACGTAATGGCAGGTAACTCTACATTATTATATTGATAAGACGGAGTCAGAGAGAGAAGAAAAATAGGGAATAGAATCTGTCTAGGGTAGTTGAGAAGAAAGAAGAAAGAATCAATAGAAGCTAGGGACCATATACATAGAATCAAACTACAACTTTTGAGTACGGTTCATGCAAACTCACCTAAACTTCTGGTAATTCTATACTCACAAAAATTAGGTTAACAAAAACACAAAACATTTTGTGTCATTAGATTTCTGTTTGAATCCAAACGGGAACAGTTTCAATTTTTAATAGATTAGGGTATGCACGACAATCTTTTCGAACAGTTTTTTTATTGTATTTTAAATAAAGTTTTATAAATTTGATTTAATTTTCTATTTCAGATAATGAAACTATTATCCAGGAATTTAAATTGACAGAAATAAAATAATTTTTTTTCCCTAACCCACTCTTTATTAAACGTTTTATTCTGTCCGTGCTTATGTATCATGTGGCAAGGAGAAACTCATGCAATGTCTCTAGTTATTTGTAACACCTCGTGTTAACCCGGTTTGTTAACATGTCATCGTATTAAGCCACACTTAATTTAAAAATGCGAAATATCTTTTTCTTTTCAATTATGACGTCATTATACTTAGCCAAGTTGATTACTTAATCATTTTCATAAAAACATCGCCTGTATGAATATTGCAAAGACATCTAACTGAAAAACATCAATATAATAATAGCAGTGAGTATCTAAAATCACGGAACTACAACACGTAGTCCAGACATAATCCTGATACCTTATTAATACTCAAATCTAAACTAAGACATAGTCAAATCAATGCGGCATGGACAATCCTCATGCTCACCAAATAAGGCAACGAAGCCAACAAAGTCTCAACAACAACAACATAATCATAGCTAATCAACAAATAGCAGCAGACATAATCCAGCATCCAATATAATCAGCATAACAACATATAAATCAACTAAACTCCGGCCTCCTGCCGCTTGAGGTCTCAACCCCAGCATTACCTTTAACTTGAAATGGTGCCCCAAACGTGGGGTGAGATCTCTAAAAAGAAATCTCAATAAGACAAGGGGTCCTCAAGGATCTTCCACCCCAAGCTCACTTACATGTGCAATATAAGTTCAAAAGCAGTTAACAGTATAAGTTCTCAAAATAGTGCAATGCAGCATATAATCATGTCATGTGTGTTATAACAATTCCACTGATCAGAGAAGTGTAGGAATCCAAAAACCCACACGGTACTAGCCATTCGCTGAACCCGCCCACAGGATCACCCCTGGCCTCCTGTCGGCGTAAAACTACATACATATCATAAGTAATTGCACTTAACAGCTCCATATCATTTCAATAAAACAGTACAAGAAAACACATCATGCATACAACCATCCCCCCACGGGACATGGTGGAACAAACAATGGCTAAATCAAGGACACGAAAGCTTACCTCTTAAGCAATACAATGTTGTAGCCCTATGTGTTAGCTTCACATAGGTCCAAACCTCACTCAATTTAGAGCTCTTAAGCTTGAGATATCGCAATTTTACTAAACTAGGTCGCTGTTGTCTCGCGAAGTATTCGATTACTGCCTTTTTCCAGGAAGTATTCGAATACTGCCCGAAAAGTATTCGAATACTTCTTCGACAGAATGCAGAAGAAAACTGAGTTTTAAAGGTAAAATCGACCTCCAATGATCCAAACTCGATCTGGAGTCCAAGAACTCCTTAAACAAATATTTATTAACATGTTATGAACCCAGAAACACATTCCTTTTATCAAATGGTTCAAGTTACAATTTTTAATTGCTTAAACAAGCTAAAACATCAAAATACACAAGGGTGATCATGGTATACCTTCCATTGTCCAAAACTCCAAAAATGAGAGTGGCTAAGAGCACTCAAAACAGCACCAAGCTACTGACTTCTCAAGACAAACGAAAATACCACACAAGGATGGACCTTTACACTCAAAGGTGGCTCATTGAAGCTCAACAAACCAAGAACAAGGAAACCCTCAACCCAAAACAAAAAATCAGCCCCTTGAATGCATAGAAACAGTCTAAAAAGGCTCACGAAACGAACTCTCTCCACACTCCCTATATGTGTAACAAGCCTACACCATGATGGATGAAGGTTTTCATGAACAAAGTGGAGTCATTGGTGGAGAATGGAGGAAGAAGAGGGTGGCAATGGAACAGTGCAAATTCTGGTCAGCCTCTCAGCCCATGTAGCACAACACAAGGACCTAGGGTTTTGTGCCAAAGAGTGAGTATTTAAAGCCCACAAGTCTTAAACACACAATATTAGCATTAAAAGCTACGCTTATCATTTTAAGTCTCAAACTTGAAATTCTGAACCTACTCATTTTTCTTAGATTTTTCATATTTTTATTTTATTTTTCGCAGCACATTTTCGGTGCGCGCTTTTCCATAGCCAGTATCAGTTCTGGCACCAGTTCTCATTATTTTAACTTGAAACTTGTTTTACAAGTCCTATATATTATTCTAGGAATATTCATGTACTTATTATAATTTTCCGGCATACTTCATCGGTACGCATTTATACCGAGTAGCACAATCGGTATCTGCACTTTTCGTCAGAAAAGCGACTTTCAACATTATTTCTCACTTATTATAATTATTAAAACCTCATAATAATTATTAGGGTCAATTATGGAATTATCTCATAATTATCTAATTAATTTCCTTAATTAGCGGTGCAGGTTCTTACATTCACCCCACCTTTTTAGGATTTTGTCCTCAAAATCAGAAGACATACTTGTCCCGAAGCGCGGGATACTGTCGAAGAAGCTCATCCTCTCGCTTCCAGAATTACCCTTCAGGAATTCTTCCCGTTCAACGTACTCTGACCAACGAAATGATCACGCTCCTCAGCTGCTTCTCACCACGGTCGAGAAACTTCAGTGGTCCGACGGGAGTTTTCAAGTTCTCTCGAACCTCCACAACATCCGATTGCACCACGTGCGAAGGATTCGCTACAAAATTGTGAAGTTGAGACACGTAAAACACGTCGTGGGTGTTGGTCAAGTTCGGAGACAAGGCAAACCGGTAGGCAACAGGTCCTACTCTACCACGTAACTGGTTTGGCCCAAAGAATCGCGAGCTCAGTTTCCTCGCTCCGAGTTCCCGAACAACACCGGTGACAGTGAAAGTTTCACAAACACATGCTCATCCTTACTGAAAGAAAGTGGGCAGACTTTGACAATCTGTCCACAAAGACCCAAAAAGAGTCAAAGCCAGTCTGAGACTTCGGCAAACCCACAACGAAGTCCATGGAAATACTTTTCCACTTCCACTACGGTACATCAAGAGGTTGAAGCTCATCAACGTCTTCTGGTGTTCGATCTTCACCTCCGGCATCACAACAATTGGGCACTCAACAACAATGCCCTATACATTCCAAGATACGTTGTCCTGGTTTTTCTCCACAAGCTCATCTCGACTCTCATGGTGTCCATTCGAGAAGTGCACCCCCAAACAAGGAGGTCACCGACAGAACTCAAAACTTCACAATGACATCAAAACGTCATTCGATTCACTGGGATTCCCAGTCACTCTCTCAAAAGAGGTGACCTAACCCCACAAACTCTAATCCACACAAGACTTGAGTGAGTTTGGTTATATTCCATGACTCTAACCTCGAAAAGCCTTACAATATAAAATCAATGTCCTCGAAGTAAATTCATATTCATTTCATAGTCTGAAATCATAATTGTAAGAACCCGCACCGTTAATTAAGGTATTTACTTAATTAATCATGCAAAATTAGGAAATAATTCCATAATTGACCCTAATAATTATTAAGAGGCTTTAATAATTATGGTATGTGATTAA